TCCTCCTCCTCCTCCTCCTCTCCCCTTTTCCTCCTCATCCTCCTCCTCCTCCCCTGGTTCTCCTCGTTTCGACTGGAGGCTGATCGACCGGGGAGCTGCTCGTCCCACACGCCTTCTGGGCGCTATCGAGGCCACGATCGAGGCTGAGCGCGGCTCCAGGCTCCCAAGCACGCGTACAGGGGCGAGGGCGAGGGGGGTGTCAGGCTTCAGCATGCTGCGGCGCTTGCGGAGCGCCTGGAAGATTTTGCCCAACCACCTCTCGCCAGCATGGTCCGTCTTGTGGCATGTGGGGGGTACTGGACGGAGTCCAGACGATTCCTTGCGGGCTACAGGACCGACGATGTGTGCCAGCGTTGAGATCTCCTGAGACCAGTGTTCACGGATGCTGGGAGTGTCAGTGAATTTTTGTTTGTCCTCGAGGGAGTGGGCTGAATCTATGGGGGTGGGGCTCCGAGCGCCCCAGTGGTCGAGACAACTCACTTGCCCCAGCAGGCCCCTCAGGAGGTCTGCCACTCCCCCAAATTTTGGCTCCGCGGCCTCCTCTCGCTCTCTCGTGGCCTGAACTCCCGTCGCCCTGGAGTTAGCGCGACTCCGTGTTGGAGAATCTCCGTTACCAACTGGGGCCTATGCTGCCGATGGTTCTAGCGGCCGTCATTATCAGCAGCCGGTGCTCCACCGTGGTGCGCGGGGTTATGTCCGCCTGGCTTCGGTCGACCAACACGTCTGGGACTCGGGGTGTGCGGGATTGCTGGACAGCCCACGGCAGACGGTTTCTCGTGCTCAGGTTCTTGGCTTTGCTGAGGTGTTTCGGGCTGTACCCCGAGATGGGAAGTTGACCGTTCTCTCATACCATCAATGTAGACAGCGTGGGTGCTCATTTGATGTGGCTGGATGGGAGATGTCGGACAGAGAGTGAGAATCAGAGAGAGAGAGAGAGACAGAGAGAGAGAGAGAGAATCAGGAAAAAACAAAGCGTGGGGGAGAGGAGGGCGAGCGAGGATCAGGAGGAGGATAAGGAGGAGGAGGAGGAGGAGGCAGACGAAGTATGCGAGGAAGGGGAAGGGGGAGAAAGCGGCGGTGAAGAGAATCTAGGCTTGCTGCTACATCCCCGCACGGCCTCTGGGGCCTCTCCTTCGCCTTCAGCCTCGCCGTCTTCCAGCACCTCGCGCGAGAGGGGAGGAAATAACCGATGAAGTCAACCCGCAGAATAAGGATGCGCGATAAGGATGCGAGGCCCTTGGACGCCCACTTCGAAGCGTTTCGAGCGGGGCGCGGCCGACGAAAGTGGTGAGGGATGGGCCGAGGAGGCAAGGATGCAAGGGTATCTTTGGGAGGGTTGCCCATCCTTACTATGCGGGTTGACTGTACCAGCAGATGGGGCCGCCTCGTTCCACATACTCGGATCCTCCTCCTCCTCCTATTCCTGCTCGTCCTTCATCTCCTCTTCCCGAAGAGGAGAACGACGAGGAGAGGAGGATCTGCAGGAAGAGAGTGCACAGGAGGGAGGCAGAAAGGAGGAGGGGGAGACGAAAAAAGAGGGGAGGGGGAAGGCGGTATAGAGGGAGGGGGGAAGGGTAGTGATGGGGGCTATAGAGGGAGGCCATGAGACGAGTACAAGGGAGATTCAGGAAGAATGCGTCTGAGGCGAAGAGTCGGTACATGATGACCAAGTCAGGAGCCGACCTCTATACACCGACGCTTTTTTCCAGCCCCGCACCGAAACTCGCACAGGAAAGCAGGTAATTGGTGTATACGGGGGTTTTTGTGTATCCATGTTTCGTTTTTGCCACGGGAAAACGGGGAAACACGTATAAACCACACCACCCCGACGTCGTCGCCGACCGTCGAAACGTCTTGGGCTTGCAAAACAGCCCGCCACTGGTAATGTACATACTCCAGGTTCCGACCAAGGGGCAAACCACATGTGCATCCGCCACAGTGCCTTCGCACGCTGGGGCGTGGAAAAATACCAAGGGCGCCTGGCAAGGTTTCTGCAGTCGTTTGGCGGCGCGCACAAGGGGGTGGAGGGAGGGGGGAGGGCTTCTTAGAAGGAGGCTGCTTCTCAGAAGGCGCCGGCCTTACATCTATACATAAGGCCCCGCCTTCTAAGAAGCAGGGGTCCTTCTAAGAAGCCCTCCCCCCTCCCCCCTCCCCCCTTTGCGCGTGGCTGAGTCGTCTAAGGGGGCACGCCCCTCTCGCCGCGCCCAGCTGCGCGCACCGCCCCCTGCTCCCCTGGGGGCTCCCGGGGCGGCCCAGACGCCCCCCTGGCGCTCTCCAGGGCGTGCAGAACGCCCAGGATGGCCTCCAAGACGGACCTGGAAGGCTACCAAGGCCGCCAAGATGGTCCAAGAGGCCTCCATGGTGGCCTAAGATTGGGCGCCCGAGTTATCGAGAGTAACTCGGGCCCAGGATAACTCGGGTTTGGATTCCCGAAAAACGAACCCGAGTTAGCCCTGACCCGAATTATCCCTGATGATTTGGGGCTCTGGACGCCCGAGTTATCCGGGGTAACTCGGGCCCGGGGCAACTCGGGTTCGGATTCCCGAAAAACGAACTCGAATTAGCCCTGACCCGAGTTACCCCTGATGATTCGGGGCTCTGATAAGATGGCTCAGGATGGCCTCGAGGCGGCACCCAGAAAGCCTCGAAGACGGCCCAAGAGGGTTCCGGCAGAGCCTCCAGCAACGCCCGAGGAGGTCAAACATTGTGTTATTCCAAAACATGTGTTGGGAAGATGTTCGCTTGCTTCGAGCTTTCGTCGGCTCAAGGCAGCCCCAGAAGCCTTTAAGGTAGCCTCAAGACGGCCCAGGAACGCACCAAGAGGGCCTCAAGACAGCCCAAGAGGGCGCCAAGATGGCCCAAGAGCGGCCCAAGAGGACCCCTAATAGGCCCAAGTTGGCGCTCAGACGGACCTCAAGGTGCCCGAGAGAGCCCATGCGGCCCAAGAGCGCCCTCAGACGGCCCAAGAATCCCCCAAGAGCAACCGAAGCGCCCCCAAGAGGCTGCCTGCCAAGAGAGCTCCAAAAGCCCCAACGAACCCCTCAAGAGGGCCCAAGAGCCTTCAGGAGTCCCGACGTGTCACAATTCACGGCCTCCTGTGCCCCTCGACTAATCGCCACCCAACATGCTGGACTGGCGCGGTGGCGGGACCTGCCGCAGGCAACTGCATACACATACACAGACCTATATATATATACACATATATATAGAAAGAGATGGATGAATGAGCGAATGAATGAATGAATTGTGTAATGAATGAATTACATAATACATGAATGAGTAAATGCATGATGCTGTAAGGAGGCGAGTGCACATCGAGGGGGGATATGTGTTGCCCCCAAAGAATCTCCTCCACCTCCCTCCTCCTCCACCTTCTCTATCTCGTCTCCCCCTCCTCTTTCCTCCTACTCCTCCCTCATCCTCCTCCTGCTTCATCCTCTCTGGCATGGGGCCTGCCTGGGAGAGACTGCGGACGCCCATGCGACGTTCGCCTACCACTTGGACTGGTGACAAGGGTGTGCCCCTTTGTTCAACACCCCGACACGACTCTCAAAGCGGGCTCGGGGTGCCGAATAATGATTCACCCCCAGGCCCGCTGCGTACAGAGCCGGGCTCTGTACGGAGACCCCCTCTTATGGCCGAACGCTGCGCCGAAGGATTCAACGATTTGTTCTCCTGGGCCTACCACCGCATCCTCAAACCTCTCCCCACCTTCGACGGTTGCTCGACAAACGGCCATTTCCCGGAAAGTTCCGCCCTCTTATATAATCCCAGGACCCCGGACAGACACCCGCAGTGCCTTCGTGCTCGTCCTGCGTCCACTCTGCAACCATCCACCAAGCAGCGAGAAACAAAATCGCGAAAGCGGCACCTGCGGAAGACCATCGCCAGACGATTCCCGCTTCAAGAACTGCGCGCTCGCTGCAAGCCGGTTCTTTGTTCGACAGCATGAATAAAAAAGAACACGAAAAGGCAACACCTGACACAGACCGGATGTGCAATCTCCGCGGCCACCTTGTTCCGTGCACGCTGCCTGCCAGAGAATTCGATGGCGCAGGGAGCGGTCCCCAGAGGCCTTCTCCGAATAGCATGCCCTATGCCCATAGGAAATGGAGAGCCATTGCTAGAACAACCACAGATGGGAAGGCCAATTCAAGGAGGGGGGCGGGGGTGGCAGATATCATCCTGGCATCGCTCGGACGTCCATTTCGCCAAATGATCAAGGATGCTCCTCGATCGCCCTCGCCGAAACAAAATGCACACGTCCGAGCGATGCCAGGTCATTGGAGGGCGCTGAACTCATCGAGGCTCCCTTGGGCCGTGGATCAAACTGGTACCCCACGTGCATCCAGGAGGGCCCACGACAGCCCATCATACGGTCTGGTCTCAAGTGGCCACGGAGCCTCCCAGACATGGCCCCGAGAGGGCGAAATTATCAAACAAACTCGTGTGATTCAATGTGGTTTGCCTTCTCGCCTGCTCTCTCCCGATGGGCTTCTCTGAAGCCTCGGGTGGGTTCCACGATTCACGATCACACGAGAGAACTCGAAGAAGGTCCCAGAAGCGCTACAAGCCAGCACCGAAGGCCCCTAATAGCGTCCCATCCTCAGCAGGCCCACGCGACGCCCCAGCCGTCGTCACGAACGGGGTAGTGCATGAAGATGCTTCCCATGGCCAACGAGGGACAGGACCACACGCCTGGCTATTCGCTAGCGCGGCAGTGTGGTCCCCCGCATCTCTTGTTCGGACAGCGGGGCGGGCCGACGGAGATGCGCGGGCAAGGTGAGGGACACAATCAGCCATGACAGCGAGGAGCCGACGGGGGGGAGCCGATGAGCCGAGGAGCGCACCCTAAACCCTGAAGCCTAAACCCCTTGAAATAGTGATAGCCTCCAGGATGGCTCCAAGAGGGCCCCCACGGCCCCCACGAGAACCCGAACAGAGCTCCAGTGGGGCGTCAGAAGCCACCCCGACCAAGCCCAACGGCCTCCAAGAGGACTCCAAGAGGCCTCCACGAGGCCTTTAGATGCAGAATTGCTGGCATTCTTGCTCCACGGAATGTAGAGCCCTTCCAGATGGGGTCGGAGTAGATGGGGTCTGAGGATCGCCTCGCATCGCCGATGCATCGGCCAGGTCGGCGGTGCATCGGCGACGTCGGCGTGGAGAACATCGGACTCCACACCGAGCCGCACCTCCGATGCACCGGCGATGCGGCGCGATGCCCCGGCCCCGTCTGCTCCGACCCCATCTGGGAGGCCTGGAGCTTTGTGGGCCCCGGAAACGGCAGGGCCGGTTTTTCACCGTTTCCAAAAAAAATGTCCTTTGAATCTGGAAACGGCAAAAAAACGGCGACCGGAAACGGCAAAAAAACGGCTCCAGAATTGGTACCGGAGCCGGAACCGTTCAAAAAACGGCGACGGAACCAAAAAAGAAACGGCGCCGGAACCGGCAACAAAAACGGCAAAACGGAACCCGTAAAAAAACGGCCCTGTCGTTTCCAGGGCCCACTAATTACCTGGAGGAATGCTTGTCTACTTCCCCTCTGCCGACTGTTCGCCCGGACATTGTTCCTGGATGGGCCGCGGGGGGTGCGGGGCGCGTGGAGGATTTGCACTCGCCCGCCCACCTGTCGGGGTGGTGGTGCGGCGAGGTGGCTCCGACGGTCCGCCGACTGGCTGCACGCCGTACCCTCTTTGGGGCCCGAGGTGGTTCCAAGGCGGACTCCAAGACGAGATCCAAGCCAAAATCGTTCCCAAGACCTTTCCGAACCCGCTGTTCACTCCCCATGTTTTCTCGTATTTGGGCCCCTTCTCGGCATCCATGATCAGTTCCCGGAGGTCGCCTCTTCAGCCCGCGCCGAATCCGACGAATCCGCGCGGACCTCCGAACACATACGTTTATGGTATTGTGTGATCCTCCCTTCCATCTGCCATATGGTGGAATGCAGGGTGCTGCCCATTACCCCTCTGTCAGGCGCATCCCCTGGAGAGTGAAGGCAAAGCGTGCTTGGCAAGGTTTGCTAGACCACGATCCTTTCACGATGACCTGTCCTGTAGAGAAGGCGGTAGCTTCGTATGGTGCACGATTGTTCAAAGATGGTGTAAATTAGACTGATGTTGGCGTGATCGCTTACGGATCATGGCACGTGTTCAGCTCCGGGAGTGTTCATTATGCATTGCTCCTGTAGGCGGCAGAGTAGATTACACCACTGCAGTACGACCGTCGCCACCGCAGCGCAGGCAAAGACATCTCACAGATGGGAGCAGCCATCAGACAGGACAAGTTTGCCAGAGAGCGTAAAGGCGTGAGCCTTCTCTCTCGAGGGCCTGCTTTCTTGCAATCTCGGCGGGCGAAAACCTGAGCGGATCCCTCAAACAATGCCCAACACGAATGCCGCAAACCACAACCGTCATGCGATTGCCTCTGATGCACCCGCCTGTGAAAACAACCGGCTGCGAACCCGCATCTTCGAACGACACCTGGATGCGTGAAACGGACTCGAGACAGGAAATGCTGCAAAAAGCTTGACTACGTACTGCGTGTGTGCACATGTGTCTGTGATTGTGTCCACTGACCCTCGTTCATCCTCACCATCTGTCCGTGCATCTTGACTCTCCGATGTCTGCAGTGTCCTGCGAACCATGACGAGTCCTGACTCTCGTTGCCGTTCCACGCGTCATGCTTTGCTGCTGTGCTTCACCATCGCTCACAATTCTGAATTCCCTGGACCAAGGGGACAAAGGCATGCTGAGATCTCGTGTAAGAGATCATGATTCTACTAGTTCGCGCGCGCGTGGGCCCTCTGGTGGTCCGGGGTCGCCCCAAGAGCGCCCAAACTGATGCCCAGTTCGCGAGACTCTGGTCACAGATGCCGGAACTCAGTGGGGAGGTCCTCCAGCCCTCAGGGTTGCCCCCAAGAGAGCTCCAAGAGGGCCAAAGAGCCCTCGGCAACGGGTTGGAGGCGCCACGATTGCCCGAAGGCAGCCCCCTGGAGGCCTCAAGACAGCCCCAAAGTGGTCCCAGACTGCCCCCAGAGAGAGGCCCAGAGGCTCAATCCCATCAGCCCTTTCTGGCGCAGGTTGCTTGGGGCACTTCCTCTTCCCCCCACCTTCCCCTTCGGGAGGCGCTGACTCACCCCCCTGGTGGTCGCGGGTGGCCACAGCGCCCAGAATGGCATCAGCGAGCAGGCAACAAACAATACGCTGGACCATCTGGGCCCCGGGGGAGGGCTCCATCGGGGACCGCCCCTTCGCCGATCGATTGCCTCCAAGATGGCCCCCCGGAGGCCCGAACCGCTCCCAAGAGAGCCCCTCGAGAGCACCAGGACATGCACAAGGAGGCCCCAAAAGACGGCTCCAGGAGGCCCCCAAGACAAGGGGCACCCCAAGAGGCCCCAAGAGGTCCATAAAAAGGCACCCAAGGCGCCCCGAGAAGCTCCGAAGCCCGACAAGAGGCCCCACACGACGCCCGAAGAGACCTCCAAGGAGCCCGGAGAGGCCCAGGCCCCCAGGAGGCCCCAGGAGGCCTCAGGAGGCCTCAGGAGGCCCCCAGGAGCCCCCAGGAGGCCCCCGGAGGCCTCCGAGAGGCCCCGTTGGACATCCCAAGACACTCCGAGAGGCAGGCACTGAGCATATCTGGCCCACGGGGGCTCCTCGAGCTCCCCAACTGATGCCGCGCCCTGCCCTGAGAGGGGCAGCTCCCCTGGGCATCGTTCCTGGACGGGCTGGTGCTTCCGCTTGTCGCAGAGGTCCCGAGAGGCTTCGCGATCGGCCCAGGCTCCCAGCCCAGTGAGGCCGCAGGGCGGCACACTGGGCCTCACAACGAGGCTCTTCTGAGGCCCCCGAGGGGCCCCAGGAGGGGAAATCCGAGTTCGCACGTCGGGCCCTCCCCCGACGATGGCCTCCGAGACTGCCAAACGGACCCCCAAAGATTTGGACGCCCGAAATGGGTACGGAAAGAATGGGTACAATGCCCCACAACACATGCTGTCCCAATTCAACAGCGGCCGCTGTTGAGCAGGCGGCCTTCTGGCTCAAATGGACACAGGCCGCGGCGGCGTGGACAGCGAGTCCGGTTCAAAATGAACAAGATCCGCTGTTGGGCATTGTACCCATTCTTTGCGTGCCCATTTCGTTCGTGCAGAAAAAAAGCCCCCAAGAGCGCTCAAGAGGCCCCCGAGAGGCCCCGCGAAGCTCCCAAAAAGCGCCCCCCGCGAGCACGCAGGCAGGCGCCCACGGCGCCACAGCGAGGGGCCGCCGGGCCAAGCGCGAAGCGATGGGATTTTTCCGGCGGGCCCCCTGCGGGCCCCCCCTGGCCGTGCTGTGAGCTCCCAGGGGCAGATGCCGAGCTGCGGCGTCCTGAGGGCGGCCTCGCGCACTCCGACGGCCCCTGCCCCGGCCACGCGTAAACATACGCTGCCGAGGAACCCCACATACTTCTATGATGGCTGGAGTGGTGATAGCCTCCTCCTCCTCCTCTTCCTCCTCCTCGTCCTCTCCCCCTCGCCATTGATCTACTCCTTCGCACCCCCTACGGTGTCGAGAAACTGCTATCCTGCCTTGCCCTGGACAACCGGCCCACGCCCCGGGAACGCGTAAAAAAATACGGGTGAGGTGTGCTCCGAGAGCCCCGAGGCCCATTTCGCTGGGGACTCTCTCGGCCGATCGGCGCTTCGGAGGGGACCCCGACTCGCAACAGCTGCGGTGTCGCTCGGGGCACCCTCGAAGCCTCGGCTCCGGAGGAGACTCTGCGGCCGTGAAAATACAAGTGATCTGCGCTCCGAGGCCGTTCGACCCCCCGACCTCCCGAACGGAGTGAACCCCCCCCCCCCCCTCAGAAATCGTGGGGGGTAGGGGCAGGGTTCGCATGTGGCCCCCTACAAGAGGCCCCCGAGAGGCTCCACGCGAAGCTCCCGAAAAGCGCCCCCCGCGGGCACGCAGGCAGGCGCCCACGGCGCCACAGCGAGGGGCCGCCGGGCCAAGCGCGAAGCGATGGGATTTTTGTCGGCGGGCCCCCTGCGGGCCCCCCCTGGCCGTGCTGTGAGCTCCCAGGGGCAGATGCCGAGCTGCGGCGTCCTGAGGGCGGCCTCGCGCACTCCGACGGCCCATGCCCCGGCAACGCGTAAACATACGCTGCCGAGGACCCCCACATACTCATATGATGGCTGGAGTGGTGATAGCCTCCTCCTCCTCCTCCTCCTCCTCCTCCTCCTCCTCCTCCTCGTCCTCTCCCCCTCGCCATTGATCTACTCCTTCGCAGCCCCTACGGTGTCGAGAAAATATCATGCTGCCTTGCCCTGGACAACCGGCCCACGCCCCGGGAACGCGTAAAAAAATACGGGTGAGGTGTGCTCCGAGAGCCCCGAGGCCCATTTCGCTGGGGACTCTCTCGGCCGATCGGCGCTTCGGAGGGGACCCCGACTCGCAACAGCTGCGGTGTCGCTCGGGACACCCTCGAAGCCTCGGCTCCGGAGGAGACCCTGCGGCCGTGAAAATACAAGTGATCTGCGCTCCGAGGCCGTTCGACCCCCCACGGGACGCCGACATGGCCCCAGGAACCATTGCAACGATTGGTACCGACCCTCGTCGAGGCAGCATCCCAACCACCCACAAATTGCAAGATCAGCGTGCAAAGTCCCTCCTGGGGGGCCTGCCGTGACTCCCGCTCTGCGGGCTCAATAATCAAAGCTCTCATGCTTGCAATTCGTCCTCCTCCTCCCCCCCCATGCTCCTTCACCGACCTATCACGGACCCTTCCTTCAATGAAATGATCAACTGGCCTGCCTCCCCAACCACCTGGAGCTCCGCCACGCCATCCTACCTCACTGAAATACTCGTGTTTGCCTTCCCATCTTACTGAACTACTCGTATTATGCAGTCCATCTCGCTTCAATAGGTGCGGTGCGTTAGCCTCTACAGCGTTTGCGCACTAGCATTAACACTGGCAACCGATGATCAAAGGCAGTGGTCAGAAACTACACAAAAGTGTAACAAAAGGGAACTCCAGTGCGGAAAAAACTGAAAACCAGAAAGAGAGGTCCAACAACCAGGCGCAACAACCGGTAACACACATACATATATATATATATACATACATACATATATATATATATGTATACATATATATGTGTATATATATATATGTATGCTTCAACTCTACGCCTAGGGCGTTCGTAGGCCGTGCTGATCCTACCAACTACTCATCCCTCCGCCGCCTCATCGTCCTTTAGACCTTCCGCATTATGACCCTGCCTCCCCTTTTCCATTGAAAACAAATCCCGAATTAAACATCTGACCAACCTTCATTGCCAAAGAATCATCCTGGACATTTGGACCTGATCCCGAGCCCTTGCCCGACATGTCCAGAAACTGACCCGAATGGCGTCCATGCCTCCAGGGCTTTTCAGGCTGGCCCTCTTCACTGGATACTGAATGTCAGAAAAAGAGCGCATGATCCTGGCATAACGCAATGTACTGCTACCCCCCTCTCGTCGACCCTGACATCCAGCAACCACGCATGCAAACCGAACAGGAATGAAGGACCTTCCCTTGGTCTTCACCTTTACCGGCAGTGAACGAGCCTGGCACAGGCAGACTGCATCGATCAAATCTCAAAGCCCAATCTGCCCGGCTGGCGATTTGTTACTCCCTCTGCTGACGACACGTCCGAGAAAGAGCACACAGCACGGAGAAGGGTCTAGTGGACAGGTCGCCGGCTCTGGGGGCAATACCGAGCAGCAGAGGGGAAGTGTGAATGGCTTGCTGTGATGCCAGGCGCCAAGGCACACGTACTCGTGCACGAACGGCCGGCATACTACTTGCGAGTAGAAAGACTCAGCGTAAACGTGGAGTAACCTCTAAGCGAGAATCTGGTCGATGAGGGAAAAGGCCCCCTGGCTTCCCGACGGCGACATCCCTGAGCCTATCTCACACTCCTAAGCGGGAGAGAGCATATGTCAACAATTCTCACGAGCACGCAGCAGAACCGCCCTGGACGCCGCTTTCCCCAAGGCTCGCTTCACGCAGGACCCAAGGCCTGGAGTCGACCCCCCCTTGTTGCTCTGGTCGCCACAGCGCGTATGGTTCTCCCAGCGGCCCCACACTTACCAGCCTCGAACGTATCCCTGTCCCTAAGATTGACACGCCAAGAGGCGATGACAATCTTAGGGATTCGCCCTCAAAAAATAAGGGAATCCCTACGATTGGCATCGTGATGAGGAGGTGCCCAGCATAGGGATAGGGATATGTTCCAGGCTGGTAGTACCACACTTCTGCCAATCCGCCAGCTCCGAATGTGCAACACGAACCTCACCGTTTAAATTGCCCCCCCTGATCCAGGAGCTGCGCGGGGCCGGCCGACGTCGGCCGATGGTCCGTTCTCGCCATCGCTCGGACGTCCACTCCCTTTGATTTTTTTCTGTTCCGTGCGTGGCTTTTTCGCCAAATGATCAAGGATGCTCCTCGATGGTCCTCGCCGAAAGAAAATTGCACACGTCCAAGCGATGCCAAGCGTTCGGAGTCGGCCCTCAGCTGAGCAGCGTCCCTTTCCTGTCGCTCGCGAGCAAGCCCAAACAATTGCACACTGCTTGGCTACATCAGCATCCTCACGGAGCCGAGGACTGATGCGTGCACACTCCCCTGGTCGACAATGGGCGCGCTCGTGTGCGCACCGCTCGGCTCGAAGCTCGCAGTGGAACGTCTGCGTGAAACTGGCTTCCGGCGGTGGCCGCCGCGTTCACGCATGTTTGCACGGCTCGGCACGGGCCTGCACTGCGGCGGATCGCGTGCCTGGCGCTCGTCTCCCGCAGGTGGTGCAACGCGGCGCTGGCGAACGAGCATCAGGATCACGAGGCTGTGGGGAACCGCTGGGCATTTCGGCTCGCCTGTGCGACGCGTGCCTGCGCCAGGCTCCCCCGGTGAACCATGCGGCCTGCGTGACACGAGACAGCTTCCCGCGGATCGACGGCACAGAGGCGCAACTGGTGCTTGCGCAGGCTGCCCTCCGCACCCGGGAAGGGAGGGAGGGGAAAAAAAGAGATCCTTCAGCCCCGTCGGCATGTGCAAGAGGGAGCCCCTGGGTGGCAGTCCCAGGGTGGACCTGGGATCAAACCAGCCTCGAACGTATCCCTATCCCTAAGATGGGGGAGCAAAAAGCGAGGACAATCTTAGGGATAGGCCCTCAGGAACTGAGGGAATCCTTAAGATCGGCATCGAGGTGAGGTGATGTCAAACATAGGGATAGGGATATGTTTCAAACTGGCAAGGATCTGCCTTCTCGTTGGCAGCTCGAGCACCTCTTCGCGCGGCCGACCCGAGGAGCAGCAACGCAGGTCGTGATCCAGCCGCGGGGAAACCCCTTTCAAAGTCCCTTCCCCGCCAGGGAGGGGGGTCCCGAGGAGCGGCCTGGGGGCGGAAGAGGGTCCCAGAGTCCCGGAAGGAGGCAGAGAGCTCCCCCCCGCCCGCCCCTCCCTGCTGTAACTCGGGCGATCTCAAGGCCAATCTGGAGGAGGAGGAGGAGGAGGAGGAGGAGGAGGAGGAGGAGGGGCCATATCACCCCGCTAGAGCCCTCTCGGGGGCCAACCTCGGCAGACTTCGGCACTCCTGGGGATCTCGCAGGCCGTCCTTGCGGCCCTGGGAGCCAGCCCAAAAGGACAGAATTGTGAACTCCGGATGCCCTGTGTGACCTTGCCATTCTCGCCGCGTCGTTCGCAAGAGGATGACGACGTCAGAGGTCCCCAAGACGGCCCCGCTGGGGGCCAGCCTTCGCCGCACCGCTGGAGCCTAACCACTCCAACATGATCCCAAGACCCCCAAGAGTTCCACAAGAGGTCCCAAGACGTGCCAAAGTGCGCCACAGAGGCTCCCTGGACCCCCCGAGGGAGGCCCCAAAAGTGTCCCCTAAAGTGTCCCCTATCCCGAGGGAGGCCCCGAGGGAGGCCCCGAGAGCCCCTAAAGTGTCCCCTAGGTCTCTGGACAGCGACCCAGGCGCAGTGGCGGGATGGGCGAACACCATGGCATCCCGCCCTCGCACTTCAGCCGCCACTGCCGCCTGCCCTCGTCCCCCCCTCGCCTCTTGCACCCCGGCGGCTCACTTCTCGGGGTCGGCGGAATCAGCCGCCAGGCTTTGGCAATAGCAGAGACGAGAGGACATTGGAGGAGGGGCAACGGGAGGGGTAACGTAGACGAAGTGGCTTACCAAAGTTCGCTGTTCGCCCTTGCAGGGGACGCAAGCCGCTGGAGGCAACCGATGTCCAAGTCTGGAAGGCATATGTCCCATTTGGGCGCAGAAAGCGCTGAACACACGCTTGGCTCCGATCGTATGTGATGGCGAGACATGCGCAAGATCTGGAACGACTCCTCTCTGCGGGGGGGATCGAGACATGGGGGGAAGGAAAGTACCCTAGCGACGTACCCGACCTCTGCGCAATGCGGGGCATGAGTAGCTAAGCTACTCATGTCCCGCTGCTTGGGAGACGTCATACGTAGGTGATGACGTGACATGGGCGCATCTACGTCTGCGAGCGGCATTCGTGAGGCTCGCAGCCCCCCAAGGATTGCGAGGTCCTGCTCAGATCTGCATCTGCGTGGTGCCTCACTCCGCTGGACCCGCCACCAGCCGTCGAAAGTAGCGACGCGTTCGCAGATCGCAGCCCACCAAGGGCGGCGAGGTCCCGCTCAAATCTGCGCGGTGCCTCATTCCGCTGGACCCGCCAGCATCCCTTGGAAGTGGCGACGGTTTCGCAGATCGCAGCCCCCCAGGGACGGCGAGGTCTCGCTCAGATCTGCGCGGTGCCTCACTCCGCTGGACCCACCAGCAGCACTCGAAAGTGGTGACAGTTTCGCAGATCGCTATGCGATCCCCCCAAGCAGCCCTCGAAAGTGGCGACAGCTTCGCAAATCGCACACCCCCAGGGATGGCGAGGTCGAATTTAGATGTGCGGCGGCTACCCACTATAACTGCCCCCCCAAGCAGCCCTCGAAAGTGACGACGGTGTCGCAAATTGCAGCCTCCTCCCCCCAGGGATGGCGAGGTCTACTTTGGATCTGCGGCGGCTACCCACCATGCTGCCCCCCCAAACAGCCACTCTCGATGGCGTCGGTTTCGCAAATCGCAGCCGACCCAAAGATGGCGAGGTCTTTTTGGGGGTCTGCGGCGGCTACCCCCTATGTTGTCCCGCCCAAGCAGCCCTCGAAAGTGGCGACCGTTCCGCAAATCGCACCCCCCAGGGATGGCGAGGTCTAAGTTGGGCCTGCGGCGGCTACCACCCACTATTCTGTCCCCCAGACAGCCCTCGAAAGCGGCGACGGTTTCGCAAATCGCACCCCCCCCCAAAGGATGGCGAGGTCTAATTTGAGGATGCGGCAACTACCCAGTATGCTGCCCCCCCCCAAGCAGTCATCGAACGTGGCGTCAGGTCCGCAAATCGCAGCCCCCCAGGGATGGAGAGGTCTGATTTGGACATGCGGCGGCTACCCACTATGCTGCCCCCCGAGCAGTCATCGAAAGTGGCGACGGTTTCACATCGCAGCCCCCCAAGGGATGGCGAGGTCTGATTTGGGTCTGCGGCGGCCACCTACTATGCTGCCCCCCCATAGCAGCCCTCGAAAGTGGCGACGGTTTCGCAAATCGAAGCCGCCCCATGGATGGCGAGGTCTGCTTCCTATGCTGCGCTACCCACTATGCTGTCCGCGTCTACTCATTATGCTGCGCCCCATCTGCTGCAGCTACCCACTATGTTGTCCCCCCCAAGCAGCCTCCCGAAAGTGGCGACGGTTTCGCAAATCACAGCCCCCCCCCAGGGATGGCGAAGTCTAATTTGGGTCTGCGGCGGCTACCCACTATGCGCTTTCCCCCAGCAGCCCTCGAGAGCGGCGACGGTTTCGCAAATCGCAGCCCCCTATGGATGGCGAGGTCTAGTTTGAAACTACGGCGGCTACCCACTATGCTGCCCCCCCCCCTGCAGCCCTCGCAAGTGGCGTCAGTTCCGTAAATCACAGCCCCCCGGGGATGACGAGGTCTAAGGTGGGTCTGTGGCGGCTACCCACTATGCTGCCCCCCCCCCAGCAGCCCTCGAACGTGGCGACAGTTTCGCAAATCGCAGCCCCCCAAGGATGGCGAGGTCTTTTTTGGACCTGCGGCGGCTACCAACTATGCTGCCCCCTCAGCAGCCCACGAAAGAGGCGACGGTTTCGCAAATCGCAACCCCTCCAAGGATGGTGAGGTCTAATTTAAGTATGAGGCGGCTACCCACTATGCTGCCCCCCCTCCCCGGCAGCCCTCGAAAGCGACGACAGTTCCGCACATCACAGCCACCCAGGGATGGCGAGGTCTAAGGTGGGTCTGCGGCGGCTACCCACTATAGCTGGCCCCCCAGCAGCCCTCGAAAGTGGCGACGAATTCGCAAATCGCAGCCCCGCCCAAGGATGGCGAGGTCTAATTCGGGTCTGCGGCGGCTGCCCACTATGCTGTCCCTCCCTGCAGCCCTCGAAAGTGGCGACGGTTTCGCAAATCGCAGCCCCCCAAGCATGGCGAGGTCTAATTTGGGTCTAAGACGGCTACCCACTATGCTGTCCCCCCCCAGCAGCCCTCGAAAGTAGCGACGGTTTCACAAATCGCAGCCCCCCCAGGGATGGCGAGGTCTAATTTGGGTCTAAGACGGCTACCCACTATAGCTGGACACACCAGCAGCCATCGAAAGTGGCGACAGTTTCGCCAATCGCAGCCCCCCAGGCACGATGCACACACAAGAGGTACCGCAGGCAAGATGCACACACAAGAGGTACGCACAAGGCAAGAGGAGACAAGAGGGAGGCGGGAGGAGGAGGAGGAGAAGAAGGAGACGCGACCGCAGTGCTCTGTTCAAAACCAATGCTCAACCAAGGAGGGTTGGGAAAAAGATACAATTCTCGGGCCCTGCAGCCCCTCCTTTGGTTCCTGACGGGCCCTATACGGGCCGTCGAGGGCTCCTGTTCTGCAGCCCTCGCTGCCCTCCCCATTTATCGCCCACCCCCATTGCGCGAATCGCAATCTGCTGCTCACGTTCTCCCTTCCACGCACCTGCCCGGGCATCCCATGTCCGTGGCTGCCGCCTGTCCCTGCGCAACGCTGGAGCATTCGAGCTCTCCACATTGCACACTCCTGTATGATTCGGCGTTCCTTCCCTCTTCAACGTGATCATCCATCAATCGCATTGCGGTTCCTCCAATGATAATTGTCACAAACTGTCTGCATATGGAAGGCTGCTCGACGATTAAATACGCGACCGGCCTCCTCATGCCACTACTTCAAGCACGCAGCGTGGATTGGAGTCAACATTGACAGCAAAGATGCGCGATGAGGATGCACGCCCCCTGGATGCCCATGTCGACCCTTGGCGAGCGGGGCGTGACCAACGAAAGTGGCCGAGGATGGGCCGAAGGGAAAGGATGCAAGGGGAACCTTGGAAAACCGATCTCATCCCTACTATCACTGTTGGCTGTGTGCCTTTCCTTGCGGCAGTCCTACGGCAGGTTCGTGTCGTGCCGACCACAGCGTTGGTTTTTGACACCGCAGGGATCGTTCAACCTTGAACGATCGGCCGCTGCCGCAACGTCCGATCGTTCAACATCGATCCATTCTGGGTCGCCGGCGGCGTTCAACCTTGAACATCCGCGCTGGGGTCGCCGCTGGTCGACACGACGCAAACCTACCGTACGACTTTCCCGACAGTACTTCCCCGCCTCGTGGTATTTCGCTATCTTCTCCTCTTCGGCGACGAAGGCCTCTTCGCGCTCCTGGGGCAGCGCGAGCAGTGAGGCTACGCAAGTTTGGCCTGCAAGAGGAGATAGGGGGGGCATTTGGGCGGGAGCGGTTGGTAATCCGCTGGCCCTCCTTGCTAGGAGCGAAGGTGCAGCTTCAGCAATTGCGCAACCTGGTTGTCCTCAGCGCAATGGGGCAGATCGCAACGCTACTATATCCTCAACAACTCACCAATTTTGCAACCGTGATCTGAACACAGAACTGATGCTTCTCAGGATGCAAGCGGACCCATCATCGAATCAAGAAGTCGGATCGGCGATCGAAAGGAATCGGATCGGCGGCAATCGGCAGCCGCGTCGGGAGAAATCGAATTGGCGAAAATCGGCAGGTTAGCAGGTAGCCGTGGAGAATCTGGAATCCACCTCGGAATCCGAGGTCGCCATCGTATCGGAATCGGAAGCCATCGAAATCGAATCGAATCGAACCGGAGGGATCGAAAGGAGCCCCGGGAGGCGGGTTTGTAAGGAAGTGAGATCGCGCGCGACCCCCCACGACCCGCAGGCCGTGCCTCCCCACCTCCGAACCACGCTTCCTCAGCTCATGGGCGCCTTGGGGCGCGCGGCCCTTCCCAGAAACTGTGGACCCGCAGTTCCGAGGCCGCGATGCCTCGTGCAAGAACTCTGGTAGGAACAAGGAAAGGCGACACCAACACCAACAGGGCGAGGAGATGCGCGGAGGCAAGGGGGGTCTCCCTGGTGGTGTGGTCCCCCCCTCTCGCTCGAGACATCCCCAGTCTTCCGCTCGGGTAGGCATTGTGGACCTCCTCGCTGGAGGTGGGCCCCCTGGTGGTGTTGGTTCGCTATCGCTATCGCTATCGGCTCGATGTCCAGTTGGACGCAGCCGTCCGCGCGGCCGAAGCTACGCGCGCGCGCCCGAGGCGCGTGGGGGGGGGTCACCCCCCGACACATGCTCCCGCCAGAGGGGCGGGGGCCGAAAGGACCGAGAAAACGGGCCCAGGAGTTTCGGGGACGAGGAAGGAGGAAGAGGGGGCTCATTAAAGGCCTGAAGAGGAAGGGAAAAAACCCCCGTGACGGCCTGCGCGCAGGCGGCGGCCCGCCGGCGGCGGCTCGGTTCGGTCAGGCCTGAACCGAGTCCTCCCCCCCCTCGCCCTCGAGGGGGCGTTCAGGATGGGGCTGGCGGCCTCCGTGAGCACTGCGGCCGTCTTGCCGTGGTGGGCGCCTGTCTCGATCGTCTTGGGCCATGTTACGGCCAGATCGGGTCGTCGGATCAGCGGCTGCTGTCCGACCAAGCTGGGGCAGACTGCCCAAAATGGAGGTGACGAAGTCGTCGAGGGGATTACCGTGGTCCTGGGAGAGGCCGAAGTAGATGGCGTAGAGGCTGCTGGCGTCGTCTATGATGGTCGGTCGTCTCGTAGCAAGGTTCTCCGTAGCGTAGAGCATCATCTCAGTATTCCACATCACTGACGGACCTGCTGGGGCTGAGGATTGCGCTAGTAGTGCTGGTACTTCGGCGACGTGAGCCGCGTGGAAGGTGTGGATGGCGAGGCGGGCGTGGTGGTTCGCAATCAATCGGCGTTCGGCTGCCTCACCTCCAAGGTTTACTCTGCCCCAGGGGTCCGTGGTCGTTCTGGAAGATGCTGCCGTTCTGTCGGGCGGGTCGCCATCGACTTGGTCGATCCACGTGCTGGGTGAGAGGTTGATCATCACTCCAGCAAAGTCGCCTTGTCGTATGTGCTGGTGGAGCGAGTCGAGGGCGTCGTACTGAGATGGGTGGTCGACAGAGTAGAGGTCATCGAAGGTCAGAGTAACCCGTTCCATCACCATTCCATTGTAGCATAGTCGTTGGTCCGTAGTGTCGAGCAGATCGTTCGGGTGTCTGTCAATGTTGGTGAGGTAAAGCAGAGATCTGTTTCTGGTCGGTGTCCGAGGGTAGTAGGCTGGTGGTGGTGGTGTAATCGCTGGTACCGTCGGGAAGAATGGCGGTGGTGATGGTGAAAGGTCAAGGGAGGGTAAGGGAGTGACGTCGGATGCGTGGGCAGGGATAGGGTGGTATAGTTCGGGGCGGCCTCTGCGTTTGTTGTCGGCTATGCTGGCTGCGTAGGTCGCCTGATTGGTGGCCACGTCCTCTTCCGTGAGGGCAGGCCCTTGTAAATACCACAGGTGCCAAGACCGTCGGCAGCGGGCGACCGTAGTTAGATGCTTCACGAGCTTGGCGAAGGAGTGGAAGTTCTTGCGGCATATTCTGCACGATGTACCCGATGCCCAGTTTCGCGGATGCTCAGGTCGTCGGTGTTCACGTCCGATATGTATTGCCATGCCCTGCTTGGTCTTGGTAACGATTCCACACTCGTAGCAGATGAAGTTGCTGGCGCCGTTGTCGCGTGATGGCGTGGGGTCCGCACCAATGGGACCGTCGGGTCTGAGCACCTTGGTCAGCTTGTCGGCGTGGGCGCGGTCTTTGGATGCGCGGATGTAGTTTGTGACAGCCAGGTTGACGGAGTTGCTGAAGTGCTTCGGCGTGGCGCGTGCCCATGCAAAAACGTCGGAGTCGAGCTTGCTGGTCGTGGGCCAGCGCTGGTCGTCCAGGTATGTGCGCAGGAAGTCGAAGTCCTGGAAAAGCATGTATGTCCATGAGCCCTTTCTCCGTCGCTGGTTGTCAAGCAGTTGGAGGAGCTGCTGAGGAGCGTATCGTAGAAGCCGTGGTAAGTATCGCAGCCTTCCAGCAGACTGGTGGTGGTCGAAGTCGGGGATGCCAGTGTAGGCTACTACTTCGGTGGCCGTGAAATGATGAAGCTGCGAGTTAGCTTTGGGTATTCCAGCTGCCGTGCGATAGGGCTTCGAGTAGGCATTGGAGATGCGCTGGTGGTCAGTCTGGGTCAGTGCTGGCCAGACGTGGTGGTTGAAGGTTAATGAGGCAGTCGAGAGGGCGTGCACGTACTTGATCTTTGTTTTGCGGGGTAGGCGTCGACGTCGTAGGATTTGCCTCTCAAGAGCTCGTGCCGAAGCGTCGGTTCGTCGCATGCGATTCTGCACCTCGGGGCCCATGCTGCCGCTGGTGAGGATGGTGCCTAAGAGTCGGTGCTGGTCTGTGATCTGGACCGAGATCGACATGATGCTCAGCTGGATTGATGTAATGTTCTGCTGTGCAAGCCTACTGCGTGCGACGTTGGATCCCGTCCCGTTAAAGGAGAGGATGACCTTGGTCTTGTCTGGGTGTGGCTTGAGCCCGTAGGTGAATGCTGTACGGCATAGTCGTTCGGCTGAAGTTCTCGTAATGTCAATGATGTCGGAGTGGCGGGTGGTCGAGTTGAAGTCGGTGAGGTCATCGACGAAGGACATGTTGGTCAGCTTGCCGCCGTGATGAGGAGCCGTAGAGAAGAGCGGGTTGTCGCAGGGGCGGATGTGGTGGCCGCTCTCGCCGTCTTCTGCTCCATCGGTGTCGTCGGCGATGGCCTGAAGCACTAGGGAGAAGTGCATGTTGAAAGCCGCGTCGGAGTATGGCACCCCTGGCCTGGTACTAGTGCGAGGGATCACGTATGCGTCGGTGCCCTTAGCGGTCATCCAGTTGGCCGTGTGGTGGTCGGCAACGAGGGCGCAGAGGTGAGAGTCGTCGACGTGGGCGTTGAGATGTGCTGGACAGCGAAGGCGTTGTCGTAGAGAGGGAAGAAGGCAGATGGGAATCTCGATGTTGTCGATGACGTCTTCGAGCTCGTCCTCCTGAGTCGGCAGCTGGAAAATGAACTCCCTGATTACCGAATGGAAGGCTTCTTTCAAGTCCAGGAAGAGGATGCTGCCCGTGCGAGCCTGCGTACGGCAGTCGTCTAAGAAGGTGTAGGCGGTGTGAGTGATGAAGTCAGTCGCCTTGTGAGGGACGGCGCCGCATTGTGTGTCCATAAGCAGGTCGGGTAAGATGTCGCGGAAGAGGCCTCTCAGGAACTTGCTGTTGATCTTGCCAATAGTGTTGTTCAGGAGGATGCCCCTGTAGGCTTTCTGCAGATGAAGCTGTCCTTGTCCTTTGGAGAAATGGGTGGAGAAGCCGCCCTTCGCCGAAATGGGCTCCGTCGTCATCAGCTGCATCTTCATCATGATGGGGTGCAGAAGTCGGGCCATCTGGCGCGGCGCTGCTCGTGCCATGTCGTCGGTGTTCCCGTCGGGCCCGCCGCGTCTGCCTTTCTTGGCGGCTGCCAGGGCGGATGTCAGGTTGTGGATGGTCTGGACGTTGTCGATGTGGGGGATCGGCTTAGTGTGCGCAGTCTTGTTGTTGTAGTACTTGACGACGCCTTCGATGTCGGTGTTGATGCCGTTCTCGATGTTGCCGTAGTATCGAAGGGCGTGCTCCGCGATGGCTTGTGGCGTCGTGAGTGGAGCGCCGTCATCGTCTTGGCGTATTTTGGGAGTCGGAGTTCTCTTAGGTGTACGGCCGCCGTATGTGAGTAAGGCCCTCACGCTTGCCCATTCCTGCCGAGGGGCATTCCCTGCTGCTGATAATATCATGTTGTCGGAGAAGCGCTCGAGGTGGGCGTCGCGGTCGTGGTCGAGGCGGTTTCTGAGAGCGCGGTCGGTATCTTGGATGAAGCTCATGTATGAGTCGAAAAGATCAGTAGTGAAGGTGGTTGTGCAGGAGGTGCTGTCGTGGTGTGGAGCCGTGGTATGGTCGGGGTCCGCGTGGTTGATGAAGAGGATGGTCTTGATCATCAACTTGGTGTATCCAGGGATGTCCAGGAGGTGGATGACGTCGTCAGGGGACGCTGAAGCCGACTGGTTTGCGATGAGGTGCGCGGTGTATCGGATCCGTCTGCGTGATTTCTTGGAGCCAATGCCATTCCTTTTCACTATGCGGATCGTCTTGAGGAGGGTGCGTCGGAATCGAAGAAGCGCGTAGGAGGCCTCGGTAATGTAGGGCTTGCGGGGGGCATGATGCTGCTTCTTGAAGCTGGCGTAGGCTGCGTCCTTTATCTGATCGACGATGCTCTTAGTATGGTCGTTGAGGTTGGTCTCCCAGGGA